TTTTGTTTCTCTTGATCGCTTTTGTAATCAGAAGAAACTCGTGTTTTCTCTTCTTAAAACTTCTCTTTAGCTAACTAGGCTGCTTTATTGGCTTTCTGATTTTTATCTTGTCGTCTTCTTGATTTATGAATCAAATGTTATCAACCTTGATCTTGAACCTTGCATAAACATCCTGAAAATACCTTAGTAGCACCACACCAAACAAAAATTGGATAAGAGTATAAAGTAAAAATAAATTTAAAGAAATTAAATATTTAAAATAAAATGTGTCGCACAAAAATTTCCTTTTGAAATAATTCAACATTCCCCAGCAACGACACCAAAAACTTGATAGATAATTGGCAAGTGTACTAAATCTAGTTGCAGGTAATATAAAATGTTTATATCCACTTGTATGTTTTTACTTTAACAAAACAATTAGAATGCTTTAAAATAAAATATGGGGGTTTTCAAGGTTTGATTTTATATAAATGTTGGAAAAGTTATCAGATTAAAGGTGATAAGGCTTTATTTTGAATCCCTTTTATTTCACTCTTGATGTTTGCATTTATTTATCCTAAGTTGATTAATAAAAAGTTCTGAGAGTTTAACTGGTTCGATGTCTAGAGTTTGAATCCCAGTACCAACAATTTTCTATTTTTTTGTTACACACACACACACACACACACACACACACACATATATATATATATATATATATATATATATATATATATATATATATATATATATATATATATATATATATATATATTAAAGTTAATATATTTATCTCAACAGTTAGAAAAGAAATTGTTGTGAAAGGCATTGCATTTCATCACAAGTCTTATAATACAATTTGGTAAAATATTTTATCTATATATAAGTGAATTTAACTCTCGCTTCTTGACACAATAGGCACCGTCTCTCTCAAAGGAAAACCCTAACATATTCTCTATTCTTCTTCTTCCATACTCCACGTGTAGAAATCGTCATCTTCTTCATTCATACTAAAAGGTGATCAATTTCAATGTTGTTTACCCATTTTCTTTCTTCCTCTTCTTCTTCATAAGCTTTCTTCCATTTTTCTGTGTATATGTTCTAATTTCCATCACCATTGGAGAACTTTCAAGGTACGCCATTCCTTGAACTATTCTTTGTATAGGGTTACATTTGGCATGGTATTTTTTGATAGCTGTTTATATTTCCAAATCTAGCTCAAGAGTTTATATATGTTTCCAAATCTGGTTCAAGAGTTTATGTTTTCAAATTTGTTTACATTTGGCATGGTATTTTTTGACTTGTAAGGAAGGTGAATGAAAACAATTAAGTCAAGAAAGCGCATACTATGGGTGTGGTTCACAAATGGTTTATTGAAGCTATTGTGGAAGCTTCATCCACCTTATATTTTTTCTTCATATCAACGCAAAGTAAATCAACTTTATCTTCATTCTTAAACAAATAGATCATTTATCCGTCTTCATTTTCCACGAATCTTTTCAACAAAAGGTATGTTCGTGAAATATTTTATGAGTTGATATGTCGTTGTATGTTGTTGTTGTTGTTGTTGTTGATAAATATTGATGTATGTTGTTGTTTTTTATTAATGTTTCTTAGAACAAGAACAAAACATTACTAAGTCACAAGAAAAAAACCTTCTTGCGACTTACCAATGTTTTGTTTTTGTGAATCTTGCAGCATTAACTTCTTATGTAGATTTACAGAAGATCCAGTTGAGTTTATTATAACGTATATAGATTGCTTGTTTTACTAACCCTATATTGAACATGCGTTCATTTAAATTAATTTGTAAAATAATAATCTAAAAATTAAGTTATATTTAAAAACTAACTTAGATCAATCAATGTTTTTCGAGTTGTGTGCATCTTGTAATTCTTCTCCCGCTCTTTAACATATAGAATTTGGTTCAATGCTCCATGTTCTTTAAATCAATGGTTCATTTTCTTCTAGTTTATTTTAAAAAATCATCAACTTGTTGACAAATCCTGATTTATCGCCATCGTTGTCATCGTCATTATTTATTTGATGGTTATTATTATTATTATGAAAATGATGACGGTGAGTTTGAATTATTCAACAAATTGGCATTTTTTAAAAACAAACTAGTAGGGAATGAAATGTTTCTTTTAAGAAGTTGGAGCATCGAACCAAATTCTATATGTTAAAGAGTGAGAGATGAAATACAAGATACATGCAATTCAAAATACAGTGGATCCTCTAAGTTGTTTTTCAAGAATAATTTAATTTTTTAGATTATTATCTTCTAAATCAATTTGAATGGGTGTATATGTTTATTGAGGAGTAAGGAAAAGCAAGCAATCCATATATTTTATAATAAACTCATATACATACCACCACCGTTGGAATATAAAACCGTTGTGAAATGTTAATTTTATTCACGTTTTAATTAAATTGCTTCTGCTAGGTTTTGAACTCATGACCTATATATATCACAAAGGTTATTTAAGATAATAGTTGTAATAGGTAGTGCACTACCTAGTTTATCATTACGGTCATACATCTATGGTGGAAATCTGCATACTTACAACCACACTCTATCTTACAACGGTTGGTTAACTATGATGGTGTCCCTTTTCCATCCATGGTGAAAGGGTCTTTACGTAGTAGTGACAAGTTCATCAAACTTTGTATTTTTCTCTTTTACGAAAGTTAAAATGAATCATAAGTCAAATCGTCACACGATCACTTTAGATCGTGTCATGACCTACTTCATTAAAACTGGATTGGGTCACTATCCCTTTTAATTGTTGTGCAATTTGATGTTCTTGAGGAAACTCATGCCATGATCTAGACACAATTTTTCCAATGCTGAAATGATTTTTTCTTCACAAATTCTTAACATTTTCTAAGTTTCCTCTTGTTTGTTCCACTTCTTCACTTTCTTATTATTTCTTCATAAATTTCAACCATAATATACTACAAATCATCAAAATATATGCAAATGCTTGATAAAATCACCTGATGACAGGGTGTCGTCAACTTCTATGATTAGTTTTTGGTTAATTGTTTGATTTAATTGGTTACCTTTGTATACAAATTTATGTGTTTTCTATATACCATACGATAATCATAATCTACTTTTTACACACTTTGCTACCACTAAGCAAACCACTTTCAAACTATGACAAGTTTTTCAAACTAAACTAGTTTTCAAATCGATCAAAAGTATATTTGGGAGGTCTATTCACCCCCTCTAGACCGTTTCATTCTCATATTCTCACCCAACATATGGAGGTTTCTTATAGGGCACTTAGGCTTTGGAGAGATATTCTTATAGCTAAATAGGGAGCTACATTTGTTTCCTCTTTTATCGAGGGTAGGATTGACATTTTTCGTCTCTTCTTCTTTCTGGTAAAAAGATGTGTCTCTTCTTGGTGAAAAAGTTGAAGGTAACACATATTTATTTACCGACGTGTTATTAGGAAAGTTGGGTCAGCTTCTCAAACTTCTTTTTGGAAGGACTATTGGTTAGGGAGAATCCCTTTAAAGTCTAAGTTTCCTAGTATGTTCTTCATTTATCTTCATTTTGATAGGTTGATGGTAGAGATTGATGTGGTTTTCAATAGGTTATTTCTTCCTAGTTTACTTAGGATCTATATAACGGAGATCATTCGTCCATAATTAGATATATACCTATTTTTTATGAGTTTTTATCTTTGCTATTCCTTGTGTAGGTCTTTGATTGAGACGGTCTTGTTTGATGATAATATGGATACGAAACAGTCTATAAGGGGGTTAAATAAATTGATCCCCTAAACAAAATTTCATGAATTTTTAAAACTAAATCAGATATTCAAGGATGAAAGTGAAAAGGAAATAATATGGAAACTTATAAATGTATCAAGAAGAATTCTAACCAAGATATTACAATGATATCACTAGAGGTATGCTCTTTTCAAGGAAATAACCAAGCGGGATAAACCAATTTACTTGATCCAAGCAATTTAAATGCTCAACATAGAAATGATTTAATCATAATTGAATTCAAAGACAAATCAATAGGTTTGATGCAACACAAACCAATTCTTACACAATAAACCTCTATAAGCATGATCTAATCTAGATGACATACCTCTATAAACAACACAAACATCTTTTATGAGTCTTTTCTTTATTTAGGATGTAGGACTAAATATAGGAGTAACTATCTTATGGTTTAGAACATTGTAGTCTGGTCTATTTGAAAAGCCCGAAATAATGTCATCTTTAAGATAGTCATTATTTCAGTGAAAGAGGTGGAGGAGAAAAGTATTTTTTTGTGTCAAAAAATGATTATTAGACTGATCTAAGATAATCTCTTGCACTTTCATAGATTGATTTTAAAACTCTATCCTCTACTTACCCATATAAGTGATCGCGTGTTTGCCTTACTTAAATCATAGATTGGTGGTGAATTTTGTTCTATTTGCAATAATGTTGTTTAGATGTTTGTATTATTTGTTATTGTATATTGTATCATGTTTATCTTTAAATGTCTCCAGACACTTCTTTTATTTGGTGGATATTTCCCCTATACTTTAAAATTTTTCTCCCTTAGTAATATGTTTTATTGCTCATTTAAAATTAATTGCCAACTCTCTCACATTCTATTGTATACGCTTAATTATTAGGTAATCCTTTCATTCGAAGAGAAAAATATAAATAAAAATCACTCTTATTAAATAAATTAAAAAAATCATTTAGATTAGGATTTTTTTTCTTTCACGATATTTTTTATAAAAAAATGAAAAACAATTTTATTAATTACTAATTATGACAAAAATGAGAAATAATATATTCACATTCAAAAGTTATAGTTGATTTTTCTTCATAATATAGAAGAGGAAAAATATGTTTTTTTATAATATTTTCATGACTAGACTATAGTGTTTTTTCATAGAAATTTCCTTTCATACTCCTACCTCTCAAAAAATATAACAATATATAAAGCCTTAGCCAGAAAAATAATTATATCTTCTTCACTCTCTTGAAACACAACCATGGAAACCTCCAAAAACAACAAATTTCACCTTAAATTCATCCTACTGTATATCTTTTTGCTATTTTCACCTCTAGTTGTTAACTCATACATCCCTGATTACAATATAGCAATCAATTGTGGGAACTCAGAAAACACTATTGCACACAATCGAACTTGGGTTGGTGATGATAATGATAACTCTAACATCTTTTCCTTCATTGAACCAAAATCCACTAACCCTTCTCTTACACTACAACCTAATTCCCTTGTAAATGCCCAAACTCCATTTTCAAGCGCACGTATCTCTCTCTCAAATTTCACATACTCATTTTCTAGCATCACTACTTCCCCGGTTTTTATTCGCCTTCATTTTTACGCAACTTCCTACAACCATAGCTTTGATCCTTCTAATGCAATTTTCTCTGTTATAGTAAACAATAACCTTACCCTTCTTGAAAACTTCAACCCTTCACTTTGGCATCATGAAGACGACGACGAAAAAATCACCAAAGAATATTGCATACAAATCCAACCAAATGAGAAGCTAAACATAACTTTCATTCCCAACAAGGGAAACACATCAAATCTTTATTATGCTTTCGTTAATGGAATCGAAGTTGTGTCCATGCCTTCTTTTCTCTATTACACTAATCTAGATGACTCAAACTACCGTTTCAAGTTTCTTGACTTCGACCAGGAATACCAAATTCTTAAAGATATAGCTTTGGAGACGGTTTATAGAGTCAACGTTGGTGGTACTCAAGTTGCAGCAAATGATGATGATACAGGTATGTTTCGTAATTGGGACAGTGATTTATCTCGTTACTTGGAGAAACGATATCCACAAAGTGAATTTTCTGTTTTTGGTAATCCTCTCAACTATCTACACAATACGATTCCAAATTATACTGCACCGGAAAATGTATACAGAACTGCAAGAAGTTATGGAATGGATGCCACAGAAGATTATAATGTAACATGGAATTTTGAAGTTGATTCTGGTTTTACTTATATGGTAAGGTTACATTTTTGTGAGATTGATTATAAGATCAAGAATAAAGAGGATAGAATTTTTCAGATATTTATAGATGATATTATGGCTGAAAAAGCTGCTGATGCGATTGGATGGAGTGGTGCTCCTTTGATTCCAGTTCATAAGGACTATGCTGTCATTATGAACTCTCAACAAATTGAAAGAGTCAATCTATCAGTCAAGCTTCAACGAGTACCACTAACTATCAACACAAAATACCGTGATGTCTTGCTGAATGGAATTGAGATTTTTAAAGTAAGTGATACAAGTTACAATCTTGCAGGATTGAATCCCAAATATTTAACTCCAAAAGAACAAGAATCACCAAATCAGCCACCAAAGTCAAAGAAGTCACACATAGTCATGATTGTTGTAGTTGGAGTTTCGTGTCTCTTGCTAGCATTAGCTGTTGTGGGAACAATAGTTTTTGTTAGAAGGAGAAGAACATTTGAGACTCCTCTTGAAATGGAAGAAAGTTCATGGAAAATACGAAAAGAAAGTTCCTCAACTTTACCATCACATTTGTGCCGCTATTTTACAATAGCAGAGATAAGAGCGGCTACAAACAACTTTGAAGATATTTTTATCATCGGAGTTGGAGGGTTTGGCAATGTGTACAAAGGTTACATCGATGGAGCAATACCCGTTGCTATAAAGCGTCTGAAATCGGGCTCTCAGCAAGGTGAAAACGAGTTCTTGAATGAAATCGAGTTGCTTTCTCAACTTCGTCATAATCACTTGGTTTCTCTCATTGGATATTGCAATGATGGTGTAGAGATGATTCTTGTTTACGATTTCATGCAACGCGGTACCCTTCGTGAGTATCTCTATGGTTCAGACAATGAACCTCTTACTTGGAAGCAAAGACTCGAGATTGTATTGGGTGCTGCGAGAGGGTTGCATTATCTTCATACAGGTGCGAAGCATAACATCATACATCGCGATGTGAAGAGTACCAACATATTGTTAGATGAGAAATGGGTGGCTAAGGTTTCTGATTTCGGACTATCAAAAGTTGGTCCAACTGGAATGTCGATGACCCATGTCAGCACTGTGGTGAAAGGTAGTCTCGGGTATTTGGATCCGGAGTACTACTTACGTCAAAGGTTGACTCTTAAGTCTGATGTTTACTCTTTCGGTGTAGTGCTTCTTGAGGTGTTGTGTGCGAGACCTCCTTTAATGCGTTCTCTTGATAAGAAAAACGTGAGTTTGGTTGTTCGTTTTCAAAGATGTTACAAAGAAGGTGTGATAATTGAAGAGATGGTAGATCCATTCATAAAGGATTCTATAACAGATGAGTGTTTGAAATCTTACTGTCAGATGGTGTTGAGTTGTTTGCATGATGATGGAAATCAGAGGATGTCGATGAGTGATGTTGTTGGGGCGTTAGAGTTTGCATTGCAGTTGGAGATGAGTGAGGAGGATAGTAAGTTTGGTGGGACTCAAGAAAAGGGAAAAAGTGCGAAAATGATACAATATCCAAAGTTTGCGAGTGATGATGGCAGTGACATGCGTTTCACGAGTAGTAGTGGTGACTATGGGTCTCATACCAGCAAGGTAAGTATCATTTCAGCCACTAGTGAAGATCAACCTTTGTTTTCTACTGATGTTTTTTCTGAAGTTGGGAATCAAAGAGCACGTTAGATACTCAATTGAGAATCGAAAAGCATGGTAGGTAGAAGATAAATATAAAAATCTGAAAAACTATAGTGTGTAATTTTTTTAATTTTTAATTTTGTTGTTATATACAAGATGAATTCGGAAAAGAATGATGTAAAACTCTTGTCTCATAATTTAAAGATGTGAAATTCGAGTGAGTTTTTTCCTATATTGATTAGGAATTGAGGAAATATTAAATATACATATATAAAAGAAGTGACGTGTTGTTAAGGTTGGTGATATGTTTGATTATAAGTTTGAAAAGATTCAATTAGAATCTCAATAAATGAATGTTTAATTCAGGGATTTTGAAAAAGTTAAATTTTAAGATTCTTCTCCTGTCATATAATTGGAGCACCCACTATCAAGAAATCAGTTATTCTTTGGAGATACTCCAGCAGAACTTTGAGCAATGAGGGCTTTGACTTCATCCTTCCAAACTTTCTTTGCATGAGCTTGCTTACCATTTCTTTTGGGTCTTGGTTGACTGTAGGGTTGAGGATAACCATACAATCTAAAACATTAGGGCCTTGTGTGCCCATATCTTCCATAATAATGACATCTTCTGTTAGAGTTCATGTTGTTTCCTTTATATAGATACACATGTCGTGCAAGTTGTTGGGCCATGTGGTCAAACATCATTAACTCAACTTTGTTCATAAGAGCAACAAACTTCTTAGGATGATTTATGTCCTTCTTGCTCATGGACCTGGGGACAAACCATATTCCCATCATGTTTTTGGATATTTTACCTACTTCCAATATTTGATCCAACATATCAAACCTATTACCTAACATACGAATAGATTTAGTCATGTTTTCCAGCTTGTAGTTAACATGGAAACTTCTTCTTCTAGATCAATAATGATAATAGCTAGTTTCACCTCATCTTGGAGGAGATCATTGATACTTTCTTCTGATTTTTCACTTCCATGCAAGTTTCCTCCCACTTGGTGAGACAAAGTCTTTAACTAGCAGCTAACTCTTCATTAGTCTTGCCTTCCTTACTAGGCTCGTATTTTTCAGAGTAAGTTATCACAAGGTTGGTGTTTTCTCCCTCATTTTCATTATCAAAATCAGATCAAGTGATGGATAATCTCTTTTTCTATTTATTTAGAAAGGTAGGAAATTCTCCTTTGGTGTATCTAAAGCATTCACGTTTAAAACATTGTGTACCTTTGCCACTATTTAATTTTTCTTCACTCTTGTCTTTATTCTGGGAACTGGTGTCGGACCGCATGTCTTGGACATTTGTCCTCCATTTTCTGTCCATATTCTTCAAGGAATTGTTGACTTTTTTCCAAGAAGAGCTATAGCATGTGACGTGCTCTCTTCTTTATCATCTTGACTTCCTTTTTTCTCAGTGTTGGAAACAAAGGCTATGCCTTTGTTCTTCTTTTTCAGTCCTATCATTGATGGATATCTCAAAGGTTTGTAAGGAAACCATGAGTTTATAAACCTTAATATTGCTCAGGTCCTGAGCTTCTTCAATAGCAGTCACTTTCATATCAAACCTCTTAGGAAATGATCTAAGAATTTTTCTAGCTAGCTTTTCTTCAGACATCTTTTCACTTAAAGCAAAATATGTGTTGGTTGTATCAAGTAGCCTGATGTGGAGTTCACTGATAGATCCATTTTCATTCATCCTCATATTTTCAAATTTAGTGGTAACGAGCTGCAACATTGACATACGAACTCTAAAAGTCCCTTCATATGCAGTTTTGAGAATCTCCTGTGCTTTTTTCGCCTCTAAACATGTGTTGATAAATATGTATATCTTCTTGTCAACACCATTGAAAATAGCATTCAATTCCTTGGAGTTTCCAAGAGCTTCATCATCTTCAGCATCAGTCCAATCAAATTCCGGTTTCAAACTAGTTGTACCATCTTTAGAATTAACTTTATCACAGTTTTCCATGCTTTGTTTCCCATGGATTTAAGAAAGAAAATCATCATATATTTACAATAATCGTAGTTGGTGTCATCCAAAACTGGTGGTTTGTTGACTGATTCTCCATCTTTCATTGTGCTCATTTGAGCATAATTTATCTTCCTTGGAGCTCACCCAACATGCTAGGGATCCAAGCTTTAATACCAATTGAAATTTTGTTCCTCAAGGGACAGATGTCACACGCGATGTCCTGGAAACTGGTTCGACAAGTTAAAGTAGAATAACCACAACTTGTACAGGATGATGGAGCAGAAAAGCAATAAATAACACAATCAATTGGTAACACAATTCGATGCAACCTGCGCCTATATCTGGAGGGTTGGCTTTCAACCTAAAAAAGGAAATTCAATATTATTATTTTAGTACAATTAGTTTTACAAGCAACAACAAATCATATGTTGTTCAATGCCTCTTCCTAACACTACCCAGTGACTTTCTATTCAGGACATCCCCTAAATATGAGACACCCTCTCACTTACTCCCAATTACTTACCCTTGTTTTTTATATTTCAATCGTTAAACCCTATTGATCAACTTCATTCAACAAGATGAGTGATGTTGAATTTTACAACTCAATTAGACAAACCTTCAACTATGTCAAGTTACTGAAACATAGTGTGGTATAGATAAAATAACAAGGACTTATGCAAATCTAGCACTCTAAAATATTTAATGTGAATGCTTGAATTCCAACCTAGGTTTGATCTCCTTATATAGCATGATAATTCTGGGCTTTTCTTCATGGATATTTGATTTTATTTCGTCTAGAAATAATGCAGAATTTGTTGGATATTATTTATTGTATAAATCTCTTCAACTAGATATGATTTGTTACAATTAAAATTCAAATTTAAATCTCCATTTAAATCTGAATTAATCTTCTTTCAACTGTCAAACAAATCACCTAATCTTATTGCTAAACCAATAGTAATAAAATCCGATCCAATCTTTGACCAGGGGATCTTCCAAAATGCATCAACATTGACCTACTGCGCAATATCCATATGTCTTAACAACCTTTTAGGACATCATGCCCAGCATGTGTCTCTTCTGTACCTCTATACAACTTAAGCAAACTGGATAAATCTTGAATACTTTGAACACTTGTTCATGTTGTTGTTTATCAAAATATAGCCAATCTGAAGAGCCAATCCACAAGGAACTTTAGTGATACTTAAAGAGATATGTCTTACTTTTATGTTTGTTAACCCCCCCCCCCCCCCCCCCCGGTTTTTAATAATGAGATTTTTGTTAAGTATTATTCTTATTTTAAAATACAAGGTGTTAGTATGAGTTTGAGAGGTTATTTTGGGAAAATTTAAGGTTTTACCAGTCTTTATAATATTTATAGTTTTTAGGTTGAGGATAAAAAATATCCACGACAACGAATGTAAAACAATTAATGCTCAGTCTTTCCTAATATGTGCTCATGAATCTTCTATTTTACTTTTCTTATTGATTGGCTCTTCTGCTGGTGATTATGAATTTAGTTCATGTTAACTTGATGATATTACTATAAGCATATTATAGTTCAATTGACAAGTGGCATCCCTTGGTTGTGAAAAGGATGTTATCTATGAACCCCTTTTGGAAGAGAATAAAGTTATCATAATTCGTCCTCAAAGGTATTATGTTAAGGTTTTCTACACAAAAACTCTGATTGTTGAAGAATCAATCAAAGTCAGGTTTGATGATAAGCTTGGCCAGCAACAGCCAAAGCAAATTGATTTTTCTGTAGGTACAGAAGATCATCCCTCAAACTCTGAAACTTCAGAAGCAAAGAAAGACTCAGAAGCAAAGGAAGACTCAACAGATCATCCTCTTGAGAATGCTCTGGACAACCTCAGAATCTCTGATCAACACACTCAGAAAAGGTTTCCTAGAATCTCTTCAGCTCACAAAGAAGACGTAATCATTGGAAGAAAAGAAGATCCCATCAGAACAAGATCCTCTCTCAAAATCAATGAAGAATCTTTGTTTGGTTTGGTTTCTCTGATTGAGACAACTTCCATTGATGAAGCTCTGGAAGATAATGATTGGATCTTAGCAATGCAAGAAGAACTCAATCAATTCTCCAGAAATGATGTATGGAATCTAGTTCCAAGACCCAAAGGATTCAACATTATAGGAACCAAATGGGTTTTCAGAAACAAACTGAACGAGCAAGGAGAGGTGATCAAAAACAAAGCATGACTGGTTGCACAGGGTTATAGTCAACAAGAAAGAATTGATTATAATGAAACCTTTTCCCCAGTCGCCAGGTTAGAGTCTATAAGATTATTAATTTTTTGTTGTTGTACAAAATAACATTTCATTATACCAAATGGATATTAAAAGTGCATTTTTAAATGGCTATATTGAATAAGAAGTATATGTCCATCAACCTCCTGGATTTAATGATTCAAAACATCCAGAACATGTTTTTAAGTTAAAAAAAGTCTTTGTACAGTTTAAAATAAGCTCCCAGAGCTTGGTATGGTCGTCTGAGTAATTTTCTTTTAGAAAAAGATTTTACCAGAGGGAAAGTGGACACAACTCTTTTCAGAAATACATTTAAAAATGATATTTTAATTTGTCAAATTTATGTTGATGATATAATTTTTGGAACCTCTAATATCTCCCTTGGAAAAGAATTTGCTGAGACCATGCAGGCAAAATTTAAAATGAGCATGATGGGAGAATTGAAGTTCTTTTTGGGAATTCAAATCAACCAGACTCCAGAAGGTACTTACATACATCAAACGAAGTATGTTAAAGAACTTCTGAAGAAATTTCAGATGTCAGAAAGCAAAGATGCCAAGACACCTATGCATCTAACCTGCATTCTGGGAAAAGATGAGGTAAGTATGAAGGTATATCAAAAGCTCTATAGAGGTATGATTGTATCCCTTCTCTATCTGACTACATCTAGACCTGATATACTATTCAGCGTGTGTTTGTGTGCTAGATTTCAATCAGATCCTAGAGAATCTCACTTAACAGATGTTAAGAGAATTCTTAGGTATCTTAAAGGTACTACTAATATGGGTTTGTG